GCACAATGACGTCAATTTATCTGGGAGATATGTATGCGGGGAGGGGAGGGGGGTATTTGACGGTTTTGGGTAGATTTCTAGGTCACAAGGAGCCATATCTCTGAGCTAGTCGAGTCGACCTTCGTTAATGTAGGGTTTTCTCAATGCCCTGAGCTAGGAATAGCATGAAATTGGTCGCATACCGACTCTAAATTCCTCATTATCAAAACGCCTTAGGAATTGAAGCCTCCTACCGTGCTGAACTTCCCACCTTTCAATCAAACTCACTAGCCAGACTACAGGGCACAGCTTGCCGACGAAAAAGTGTCCTCGCTCAACGAGTCTCCGGGGCCTAATAGTTAAACCCACCCATGAATTTAGCTCGGCGAAATTATCGAGGGACTTAGTCTTGTTGGCTGACGTGAGCTGAATGCTGGCGCTACATGTTGTTCAGTCAACTTTGCTGAGACACGACCGATGTTTTTACACTCCGTTGACTATATATCGACTAGGTAGATCATGTCTTCGTAAATGTTTATCTAGCAGGACTTTCACGCTCACTTAGACAAGAGCATGATTCGGGTAGGGTGCGAAACCTGGGCCATTCACAGCTTAGTCGGGAATGCGCAGTTCAGATGTGTGCGTGTGTACGCGTGCCTTAAAATGCGGAGACATTGCTTGGGATTGGTTCTGCTAGCACCAATCTTGCAGACAGTTTGAAGAGCAATAAATAATAACGTTGGAATAGGGTTGGATAGTTTCGGATTAGCCGGATGTGCCGAGGTCCGGAAGATTCACTTCACATAGGGCTGTGGTTATACATCGGTCTAACTCTCAGCTAAATCTACCGTAAAAGGTGTTTCTTTTTTCAGTTGGCTCTAACTGTCTTTTTATCGGTCTGCTCAAAGCCGCACAACTCTGGGGACTCCTAGCTGAGGATTTTGCACAATGATCGTGTTTCCCAGTTGGGGAGATTCGGTCCTCCTAGCGGTTTTCCTAAAAGGACTTGCATGCACATGCGTGAGAGTTTGGAATTATCACAGGGGACGCACGCTTTGTGTTACGGAGGCGGGATTCCCAACGCAATCACGGCCGTCGGTGAAAAAAATCAGGCCAACTGGGTCATGCACGCAGTCAAGCCGCCCACGTTGGATCATGACTGCATGCAAGCCGCCCACGCAATGCTTCGAGCAGACGTGACGACCGCGCACACAGCGTGGGAAGTGGCCGCAGTATAGAAGTTTCCAGAATGCCCACTCGCACACTATAAGCTAGGAATATTCTGGAACGACCGAACCCATATAAATACGCCGAAGTGGACAAGCTAAAAAAAGAACCGCAAACCGGTTGTCTTTGTG